GCTGACCTGAGTAAGACCTTCCCTATAAAACATGCTGCCTCTACAAACAACAGGAATCTGTGCTGCCTTCAGCAAACAGAACTGATGGCCGTAAAGAAATTTAGGACTTGACATGCAGTCTCCTTGATGTCAGAAGACTCAGCTTTATAGTCACACCTGTGCTGCTGGCCCTGGCAGCTGTCACCTCAAGCATTCCACCCAGATTGCTTGAGATTACAGCCCCCAACCCCAAACCCTATATACACCTAGCCTCCCTTCCAGATATTTGCCAGTATCACTTCGATTTCAATCTGCCTGTACCTAGACAAAATTAAACCTAGTCTTTCCCACAGTCTTGGTCTTCAGGTGCATCCTCACATGCCATTAATTAAGAGTATGATGATTTCAAAGGAAGAATTTGGCTTTCCCATCTCCCTTCCGGACGTTTAGTAAAGGAGTAGGAGAAAAAGTTTCTGGCCCATCTACTAAGTGAAGGCTGGATTCTTTCCAGTATTAAAAGCCTTTGGATGCCTACCACTCGAAAGGAAGACTTGTAACCCAAAAGACTTTTTTTTCTTTGTTGTGACATAAACTCAAAACAAATGAAACAATGACTATGTGTTGCCCTAAGCACGAACACTTCTGTATTAAGAATGACTTTGTGAAACTATATTTCTCAGAAAGTTAAAATAAGGACTGGATCTGAATAATAGAAAAAATAATTAGGAAAAGTCTTGTCATAGGAACCGAAACTAAAAAATAGAAGATATTTTTTGTCTGGCTAACAGCAGCTAAAATGCCCAACTAGTGATTTTCCAAAAAGTGAAGCAGGACTTGAAAGTTTCCCTGCATAAGGTTTAGGAACAAATGATGACATCTATATACTATGGCTGATTTCCTTTACAGTCTATGCACTTTCAGCCTCCCTAGCTAATGATCAGCTCCGCAAGGTCAGGTGAGTACTGGAATGCATTTTGATGTTGCTCATGCAATGCTAACACATTGAGGAAGGAGCTCAGGAAGCAGCCTCTCCTCTCTCCATGTGCTTACCCCCTAACTGTGCTCAGTTGCTTTTTGCAGAATCTTCCCTAGAAATAAGATTCATTAACTCTGCTTTTTTTTTTTTTTCAATTTAAATTTTTTTTGTTTGTTTGTTTGGTACTAGGGATCGAACTTACGACCTTGAGCTTGCCAGGCAGGCACTTATGCCGCTGAACTGAATCCCCAGCCCTTAACTCTGCTTTTTAAATTGTGAAAATGTATATGAATATTGTCATCTCAAGCATCAGATCTTAACTATTCAAGTTAGAAATATTTCCTCAGTTATAGTTTCTACAATAGAACAATATTACAAGGCAGCTTTAATTTATTTATTTCTGCTGAAATAAACACAGACACTGCAGCATGATTAAACTCACAATCAGATGTACCTTCCAATTTCTCTATATGTATGAATAACTAGAGGGGACATCCGGAGAGTTCTCACTCTCCAAGAACCCACTGAAATATTTGCAGCTCACACTATGCTTCTTATCTTTAGAGCGCTTTGGCTACTCTGCCATGTCACACGCTACATTTGTGCTTCCTCACAAAGCTTTTACTCATGCCTCAGAAAATTTAGAGGATAAACCTAGCTTCTCTGTCTCTCTAGAAGTAAATAATAATCATTATCAGACTTTTACTATCAAAATTAACTTTTTCCATGAACATTTGGGAAATCTAGTCTTCTCAAAATAAATGCTTCCCCTAAAACTGGAATGTCACTGGACTCCATTGAGACAGGATGTAGGGGACAGCTTAGGCAGGCTGGAGAGAAGTGTGGTGGGGTCCCAGGATCTACACAGCTCTGCCTCCCAGGACCCCATGTGTAGAACTTCTTGCAGATTCCTACAAGATGTGGATGATATGCAAATACACAGATGCCACAAGGAGCCTGCTATCATGATTCTTTATAGCAGCCCACCCTGTGTCTCTCAGACCAGGGCTGTGTTCTTTTTATTTGTGTTTTTCTCTTGTTTGTCCCTAGTTTGCTCTGCATGGCCAGTTTCTCCCTCACCCTTAGTTTTCAAGTAAACCTTGACACTGTTTAATTTGTCTCATTCAATTCTTTGTTGCAAGAGGGACCGGGAATATATTTAATTAGCAAAAAAAGGAATTACCCAGGGTCTTGCCAAGAAAGATTAAATTTTAGTACCTTGTTTTGTTATTTTCCAGAATTCTAGATTGTTCCATTTTTCCCATAGTCTTTGGAGTATAATTCTTAAATGATTTTTTTCTTAAAAGTTGTCTTAACTTTTACATTTTTCAAATGTATAATCATTAAGCATCTTCTATGAAGAATGCTGCTGCCCTCAAATAGGCAGCAAATATTGACTGATATCTTGCTTTCTTTGTTAGTTCCCTAGAAAATCAAAATGAATGAGAACCCAGCCTCAGACTGCAAGGCTAAAAATCTCATGACTGTGGAGAAGTTCAACTCTCCTCATTCTGTCCCCTTTTTTGAAAAGTCTGTGTGAAAGTGGCTATCACAAAGGGTTATATGAAGAATGACGATATGTGTCAGGCACCTAACACACTATCTGGTATATGGGTATAATGGTTGATACTTTGTGTCAACTTGAGAAGTCTAAAGTTTAACTAATTGACTCAGCAGCAGGCCAGGTGCCTCAATTTTTTTTTAACATCCTGAGGCTGTGCCACAGTAAGGCAAAGAAATGGTTAAAGTGCCACACTCACTGGAGGGTGGGTAGTCTGCTTAAAATATAAGGGAGGAAAGGAAGCTTTCTTTTCCCCTTCTTGCTATGGTTGTTTTTGCTGTCTTCTGCTTGAAGTGTTGCCCCTGTGCCATGCCACCCAGCTGACTACAGGCAGAAACCTCCACAAAGTGTGAGCTAAATAAACATTTTCTCCTTTAATTCTGGGTGTCAGGTATTTTATCTCAGCAATGGAAAGACTAACCAAGACAATCAGTAATACTCAATACATGCTAGGTATTATCATCATCACAGTGCTACTTAATGCATGCTTCATCCACTTAATGCTTGAGCTTTAATTGTCATATTCCTCTTTGCCAGCATTATGATCCTTCTTAAAATGTCACCTTGGAAGTATTTGCTTCATATCAAGACACTGGAGATTAACATTGAAGAAATTTGGCTCCAATTTCCCCCTAAGTATGTTTAATGTACAATTTCTCTGTACTGAGAACTTCATTCACCTCTCTGCATTCTGAATCTGACCCTGTCTCAAGCCCTGTTTTTGTGCTCATTGCACCTTGAAGGAAATTCCAGCAGCAGGCTGTAGTCTTGCCCTATCAGGCATGATTTATTGTATATCTGCAGGGTCTGGGTTAAAACAGTCAAAATGTGATTAGCTAGTCAAAATGAATAAAAGCTAAACATGGTAAAGAATGACGTAGCTTTTGTCTTGTCCTTCAGGGTGTTAAGGGGGATCACGTTTTCCTGTTTCAGTGAAAATAAAAGCTCATTGCACTGGAAGTATCAGGCCAATGTCATTAAGTGCGAGTGTGGATAATCTGATATTAGATAATACTTGCGTAACACCTATGTCTTCCTGCCACTGAAGCTAAACAGTTTGCAAACATTAAGGTGGTACAACTGAATGCAAAATATTTTCTTTTGTTTCTCCTCGCCTGCAGTACAGTTAAAATGATAGCAATAATCATAAAATTTGTTTTGTTTGTAAGGCATGTGATTAACAATAAAGATGAATAATAATATTTTATTAAAAATTAAAGTACATAATGGATGGCTGAACTCTTGGATACCCTAACAGAAAAAAATCTTTTGAACACGCTGTAAAATATGTATGGTACTTACTTTCTGATGACTAACAGCATGTAGCATTGATTAAGCAAATTTAATTAGTGTTAGTCAATGCATTTTTAAGTGGATAAAATATATTTGAGTTTAGCCAGGACTATTAATCTTTATGTTATGAAGTCGAAGTTAAATGTGACCATAAAATATTAAAACTGAAATAAGCCACATTTAAAGTAAATAGGGTGTTTTTGTATTATTTTCTCATTTGGTTTTTAAACCTATAATTCAGTGGAAATTGCTTTATCATTTTTCTTTTTTCTTCCTATTTGTTTTTGCAACAGTAGAAGTAACGTGGCAAAATGTTGTGCATTTCTCACCACGTGTACGGACTGACCTCGCAATTGCCAGGCAGGTGCTGTGCCGCTGAGCTATGGCCTCAGCCCACGTACCTAACTTCTAAATGCCCCGGAGACCACATTAATCCATGATCAGACTTGCAATAATCTTCAAACATGAATATTTTGTTTATAAGACTTACTTAGAGTCCTCAAGACTAAAGACAGTGGGAGAACTAGGTCTTATCCTAGAAAATAAATTAATCTTTAGGAAAATAAATGAAATAATAAATTTTAAAATCCAAAAACTATTCAAACAATACTCTCAAGGCTGGAGGAAATGATATAGAAAGATTAACTTGAGACTTTTCAAATCTAACTTAGTACTTTAAGTACTAGTCACTAACACTTAAGTAGATCGTGATAGAGTGCAAAGCCTTTTGCTCCATAGTGAGCTTTCCTGATGAATACTACAGCTGATTCCACACAGACTCCACAGTTTGAAGGAGTTTTTTAGAATGTATGTGTCACAATCAAAACCAGCAATATTCTAGGAGAAAAGTTTAAAAAAATATTATTCTATATATTAGCTTGAAAACATTCTCTTAGACTTGTATTTCTTTAATATTTTCTTATTTTGTGTCTCTTTTTCCCAGAAAAGTTGCTCTATAGTTACTTTCAAAAAATGAGAATATCAATAATAACAAATCCTGCTTCCCATAAGAAAAGTTATCAAGTCCCCCAAAGCATTCCAAATATGGCAACTGTATACATTGTTCCTTTGCTTCAGAGACATCCCACTCCCCTAAAATAGGAACAGTGAGATGATAGACCTCCAGAGGCATACAGTCCACAGCAAAGATATAGACACAGAAGTACAACAAAAAGGAAAGGTTGTACATACCTATAATGGAGTGATGTACATAAACTCAGAATGTGAGAGTTACCCTCATTGAGAAATCACTTCACTTATTCACTCAGTCAACATTTGTTGGGCATCTACTTCACGTGGGCACTAAGCTACCTGCTAGCATTATAACCTGGAACAAAAATGACACAATTATTACTCATTGTGGTAGTTTCAGGTGATAGACCCATCAGCATAGCAATAGGAAGCGCCAGTCAATCCTTGATGACGTGACTCTTGTCTAGCTCCTTTATGTCCCCTCACATCACTCCTGACTCACTCGCTCTGTCCCATCCTTACTAAGCTAATTGAAGTTTTGCCAAAGTGCATGACACACTTCATCCACACTGTCATCTCTGCTGGGAAGTTCTTTGTTTCATTTCTCTGGTTTGGCACATACTATCATTCCGTAAGAGGCTACGTGCATGAGCTACGTGTATTTTTTTTTTCTTTGCTTAATTTCTTTAAAAGTCATATAACAGATGAAGTAAAAAACTATAGCACTGTATTAAAATTATAATGTTGTACAGGTCTGTGGGTATAAAATTATATCAATATAAAAGCTATTCAAATTCTACTATGTGCATTTAAAATTTTTTAATTTATTACAGTACAAGGCCACATTGTCATTAACTCTCCTCAGCACACATGCTAACTTTTATTACATATGTCACATCCTTCTTGACACTTCTGAAGCAGATCTGAAAGTCCTGCCTCATGAGTATTAGTACCAAGAATGACCACAGCGACAGTAAACGAAGCTAGCAAGTACCATCTAATTGCAAGGCAGGGTTGTAAAAAGAGTACAGTGTGTCCTTATCTACCCGATACGCTGGGTCTGGTACTGTGTGACTCCTGGCTCTTCCCTAAAGTCAAAATGACCATGAAAGGCAAACATTCTGAATTGATTCTGGACATCGAGGCAGCCATAACAGCTATTACAGTAGAGAAGCAAAGATGTTAGGTAATTGAAATGATAGAGTTAAAATTTTTCTGTACTTTGTTGGAACTAATTCAATGATTACTCTTAATACTGTTTTAATTTCTTTGTTGTGAGTTTTACTGTGAGTTTTTCCTTGGTAAAATTTCATTAGTCATTTTTCTAGTAGTCATTTTTCTAGTCATATTTTAGTGACAAAATACATACTTAACTTTTCATAGTTTATTGCATTATTTTGCCATTTGTAATTCAGAATATTTACCATTAAACAGGTCCCATTATTCTTCCTTCTTTATGCTATAGTTAAGTAGTTTATTTTATAGTTATCATAAACATATATATATATGCATATAATATATATTGAAAACTGCATTGGACATATAATATCCTTTTTGTTTTCAATTGTCAAATACATTTTTAAAATTTCAAGAAAACAAACATCTTATATTTCAATAACTTGTTCATTTTTCTTTCATTATTAATATTGTAGGTATGTATCTACATTCTATATTTTCTAGTATAAAATTTCCATTTGTTTCTCTGTACACAGTATGCTTTCTCATGTATCTTTTCTACTTTGACTTTTAATTAGAAAGGGTTTGTGATTGTGCTCCCAAGTCCTTTATATTAGCTACTTTAAAGTCTTTGTCTAATTTTTGTCTTGTCATTTGCATCTGCTATTCATATTTTCCAAAGTAATTTGAGAAAAATGTGACTGTTTTCAGACTAGTTCTTTTTTTACTCTCTCCTGTATACTTTGAAAATTACTTTATAAAAATCTATATCTTTTAGACTTTTTGGAGAATGTCAACACTTTTTTTTTTTAACAATCTCTCATCCAGACACTGTAAATCCATAGGTCCCAAGACATTTCTGTGGCACATGGCTCCAAAGTCAAATCATCTAGCATTGCCTTCCTATTTAAGGTTGCCAGATAAAATACAGGATGCCAAATATCACATGAGATTCACACATACTAAAGATCTGTATATGAATTATTTATCTCTGTTTCAAATGTGATTAACATTCTGTATTTTTGTTTGCTAAATATGGGAACTATGCACAGCTACTGGAATTTCTTTTACAGGTTACTTCCCAACAACCATTCACACCTAGATTAGTTCTCCTAATAAGGATGAGGCTTACCTTCATGCAAGACAAGCGTATGTCTTACTGTCCTCTATTTGACACACACCCTTTCCGCTATTCCTCTAGAGAAGTCTCTTTCCCTGGTACTCACTTTTCATCCTTTCTGCAGAAACTGCCAGCTTCTCTAATTGCTCTGCATCCCAGCTGACATAGAGGAAAGCTAGCAAGATGAACAGAGGTAAAGCAGCAGGCCGTAGCTGCCTTGGGCCACTGTAGATTAATAAAGATCACTCTTCCTCAGCACACCACACATTCACTGCAGGATGGTTTGATCCTGAGGATGAATGACTGAATAAGACAGTGAAAACAAACAGTGCTCTTTTCTTTGCTGCTTTAGAGTCCTATTTTCTACTCCTCAAGTCCTAAGTGGAGGATTTTTGCCTTTCTCTGTTTTGTGCCGTGCAATTCTCATATCAGATCTTTGGACTGGAATTAATTTAAGGTCAAAGATTCTAGAGAGACAACACTGGTAAACTCTGCAAGTTTTGTGTATACTTCAAAACCTGGTATTATTTTCTAGTTTCTGTACTAATCTTTACTTTTCAGAGCTCATAAAATGCTGCTCATGTAGTCCCTCAAGTACTTGTAGTTACTTTCAGTGAATAAGGTTAATGTGTTTATCCCATCTCACCCGGAAGCAGAGCCTCCAATGTGAATTCTTAGAATACTGAAGTCACAGACAAATCACAATCCTTAGAAAAACCAATAACAAACAATAGACACATATATAACAATAAATCCAGAAGAAGTATTCAAACAACATACTGACAAGAATTGATTATCATAAATGAGGATTAAAAAGAAAAAAATTTTAAAAATCCCAAAGCAAGAAAATAAACAAATTAATCAGAAATATGTCAGATCTAAATACACAATATAGACAATTATATTAAATGAAAATAGGACTAAAGATTAGCACAGAATTTCTTATCAGTATTTTCTTTTTCAGGAACTCACAACTGCCTGCTTGCAAGGCAGGCGCTTATGCCGCTGAGCTAAACCTCCAGCCCCCATCTATCTGTATTTTCTTAAACTTAATATAGAGTGGAATGAGAGCATGGCAGTCAAGAAAAATCTTAACTATTCCAACTGGTTTTCTGTGGGGAAAAACACAGGGGAGGTGCAATTCCTTGAAGAAATCTTGGCAGAAACCACACTTATATGCTGTCTGTAGAAATTAAAAACTGCAATAATTTCAAATGCTTTTGGATGTCTAAATTTCATATTCTCATTCCAAGTAATATTTGGGCAATACATACTCCTTTAAACTATGCTTTGCTCAGCTGTTCAGGATTCTGACAGTAGCCAAAGCCTTTGGCAACTTGACCCTTGAGCAAAGTGCTTAATAACTGTCAGGAATCATGCTTTAGTAGATGGATGAGTAGACACTAGATGGATGGACAGATAGAGGAACGGATAGGCTTTTCATTTGTAAAAAGTTGCAAATCAAACATTGAATGCTCAGTTTATAGTTGAAGAAATAGATGGATTAAAGGGGCCAATAATTTGCAAAATGTAATACAGCCATGAAGCAATGGAACTCAGATACTGAATCCAGGATTATCTTTAAATCAAACCTACATTTGTCCACTATATATTATATTTTCACTATCTAGTAGACCCTAGCATCTACAATAGAGAAAGTGAAGCCATTTTATTGAGATCATCATGCTCTTGAGAACTTTGTTAAAGACTTAAAATTTAGGGCCAGGGGTTTAGCTCAGCAGCGAAAGTGCCTGCTTGGCAAACGCGAGGTTGTGAGTTCGATCCCTGGCACTGAAAAAAAAAAAATTTAGACTGCATAACCTAAACATAGGTTAAAAAGCACGAGGTGAACTGAAAACCTTTCTGACTTTCTACGTCACGTCTGTTTCACATTGCCAGGCCCCACAGGGAAAGAACAGAATGTGTGGCTAGTGATGGTGAGGCAAAGACCAACATTCCATGAACAATGACTACATACCTGTCCACAGCACAAGTCCATTTTACTTGACAGTGATGCTATTAAAATAGATCATTTTCAAAAATCAAAGGCCATATTACTGCTGCAAGCACAATAGTGGATGTTTTTAACAGGTTTTAATAGTTAAAAGGTAAGACCAAATTAAATAATATTATATTAAAATTAAAATCAAATTAGAAGTATAAAGATACAGAGCACGGGGAAAGAGTTTTTGTGGGGCATTGACAAATACAACTTTGAACGTAAATAATTATTCAAATGCTTTTAACAAGACTTATGCATTCCATTTTAAGACATAGCAAAATAATTTTTGATTCAATCAAAATTAGAGTCATTTTCTTCGCTGTGTTGAATATGTATTAGAGACTATTCATTCTATTTATTTAGGAGGAAGGAAATGTGAAAATATACATCCATTCAAATAGAATACTACATGTGATCTCACCGAGTCTTCTACATAATTTGAAATGATTTATACTGTTGATACTCCTACAGTGCACTGGTATGATTTAAATAGAATTATTCAAGATCATATTTATAGCCATCAAATTTTTTAATGACAAATTAGTCATCTTCCACATCTGTTGCAGTTATTCTAGGCCACCCTAAGTGACTGAGAATACTACGTGGTTAAAAAGTAAGTCAGCAAAAGTGGTCAGCATGAATTCACAGGGAATTGCTAGAAGGAAAATGAACACTCAACATGATACCTCGTTAAGGAATCTGGGTACCTGCCTCCTGGAAAGAACTGACAGAGTCAACCCTGTTGTTTCTTACAGTCTTAGGAAGAAGGGAGGAAAGAACTAGAATCTTATGAAGCAATTACCATGAGTTGACCTAAGAAATTAGTTCATTTAAAGCCTTAGAAATAAATGTTTTACATATAAAGAATTAAAAAAATCTGATCTCAGAAATTCAAAGACCCAATCCAAAAATGGGCACCTGAGATGAATACACAGTTATCAGATGAAAAAATACAAATGGCAAATAAATACATGAAAAAATGTTCATCATCATTAGTCATTAGACAAATGCAAATTAAAACAACACTGAGATTCCATCTCACTCCAGAAAGCATGGCCAGGATCAAGAAAACCACCAACAACAAATG